GCTTTGGAGAATAGGTTGACTCCCTCTTCTTTGTGGCAGCCCCTTAGATATTGGAAGACTGCTATCATGTCTTCCCTAGTCTTTCTTTTCATTAAACTAGACCTACCTGCAACTGTTCTTCATATGTTTTAGCTTCTAGTCCCCTAATCAACTTTGTTGTTCTTCTCTGTATTTTTTATTAGATTAGAGATATTAATTTGAATAGAATAGTATGAGGCCAAGGTAGTGTCAGCTGTGGAACAATGATCAAACTATACAAATATTGACAGGTTGCAAAGATCTATAGGAGAGCCATAGATGAGACAACTGGCATGTAAAAGAAGTCGGAATGGAATAGAAAGCATTTCAGAAGTAACTCTCTCTAGTTTTCTGGAAAGTAGTAGGAAAGGAATGGAGAAATACTTTCAATCTTGAAAGATTGATTTTTGCCCTCCAAGGTAGCTGTGACCACTAGGACAACAATCTCTGGAGATCTCAGGTCACCTTCAGGTGAGAACTGAAGTATTTCTTGTGATGAGAAGGGAAATGTCTTCAAGCAAAAACAAAGAAATTCCAGTTGCCTTTTGAAAAAATATCTCTGGGACACAGCAATTAATACTAACTCTATCTGTATTGTAAAGTTATATTAACAGAATATTGCAAAACTGAAAAACTGAAAACTGAAACTAATGAAAACAGAAATAATGTATGTTTGTATTTTTTTTTAAAGGAAAAGGCTGTAATAGAAATGAGTAAAGTAAATGCAGATCATTGATTGCAATTTTAAAAGTATATATGTATATATGATATTGTGGAGATGATGAATAACTGACAGGAAATACATAGCTCTAATTAAGAATAAAAAGGCTATTAGTGCAAATTAGACTGTATCAACTGATATAATCTAAATGGTTGTGATGTGGGGAAAATGCAGGAATGTTAGTTGCATGTTACATGCCAGTAAACATTTACAATGAAAGAACCAAGATTTGTTCCGGTGAAAAATATGCGACATTCTGAATGAGCTCCCAGGGAAGAAATGGATGGGTGGGTAGGAACAAGACAAGGGAATATATAAAAAAGCATCGGGCAAGTTCTCCAGATATCAGGTTTAAATACCACAACCATCTCCAATCTGTATAGTTCACTAAATGGAAGTTTTCCTACAATTTCTCCTGAGCAAAATATTTTGGAATAATATAACATGGTTACCCTACCTTGGCAGGTTTTGCCACCTCTGCCAACTTCGTATCCTTCCTCACAATAACATCTGGTTTCGTTCATGGACATGGCACACTTGTATTGGCATCGCATTTGTTCACATTTGGGTAGCAATTCTGCAAGAGAAAACGATACATACAGATATATTATAACAGAAAAAGTCAGAAGTAAAGTGTACGTCACTTATATAAAGTAAAGTGTACTTCACTTATATATTTGTATGTAATTAATTTCCTTGTTTGCAAGCCTTAAGAAAACACTGCTACCAAACACTAAACATTTGGTTTACAGCTTCTTCAGTAGTGCTGTTGTAGCTTAAAAACGCTTTCTTACTGTATACATTTAAAAATAACAAGGTGACACATTTATTCCTTCCTTCCCTTCCTTCCTTCCTTCCTTCCTTCCNTTGAAGCGTGTCCGGAGACCAATGGGAAGCCAGTGCAGCTCACAGAGGATAGGTGTAATGTGGGTGTATCTAGGTACACCCAACTGTCCCTTCAGCTTTGTTAAAGCAAGCTTACCAATTCCTTTAAATGTTTAATTTATGACTACTAATGAAAATATAAACATAACCTCATTGAATGCTACCAGGAGCAAAATGGTGACACATCTGGCACCTGAAGCAAAAGAAAAACATTATGTTTACTTTAAAGTAATTGTTATAAACAGTCATCTATGTGTAGTAGTTAGAAGGCGGCTTTCAGACTATCAGATTTTATGATAAGGAATAACCTTCCATGAACTGTAGCTCATTTCACCAGATGCATAGAATAGCTAAACTGATGAAGAATTGAAATTGGATGAGGTGTGTGAAGGTGAAAGCCTGTTCAGACATCTGTAGGTTACATGTGATACAGATTACAGGTATTTTGTTAATCAGCAATTGTAATGCATTAAACATCCTTTGTGTTTGTTAAGACTACATGGGCACCTGTGTCATCCTCAACTGTAACTTTGAAAAGGTTCTGAAAAGTCTTTTCTGATTTTTATTCACCATAGGTAAGATACAAGAAGAAACATCACATAATGAGATCCAGGAGAGTAGAACTGAAAATTGTATAAACCTTAGCCAGTAAAGCTGTTTACTGTTTTAGTTAATCTTTCACAAATTGTTTTTGATTACTCTAAAGCCAACCTTAAAATAATATAGGAAAGGCTCTGTGCATCTATTTGTTGTTGTGATGATTTTCTCTTTTCAAGAACTGTTATATCTATGACAACTCCAAAATTCTGTTCAAGTTTTCTAAATATAGATCAAGGCAATTAGAGAAGGGGTGTCAAACTGGATTTCTTCAAGAGCTGGATCAGCATTGTAGTTCTCAGTGGGGGAGCGGCAGACAGGACAGATGCCTCCTGCAACACTCTGCTAGCTGAAAACGGGCTATGGGGGGGGGAACCATGAGTGCCCCCCGTAGCTTTTTTTGGCTAGTAGAGTACTGCGGGAGGCCATGGAGGCCAAAAACCAGGATGGGGGGGGGGATGGCCCATTTTGGCTAGCAGATGTAGCCCAGGCCGATTCTTTGATATTTCTAGGCTGGTCCTGCAGGCCAGATGTAAGCACTCGGCAGGCCAGATCTGACCCACAGGCCTTGAGTTTGACACCCTTGAATTAGAGTAAAGAGAATGGGCTGACAAAAACATTTTTTTAAAAAAGCACACAGCCTAGTGCTGATTCAGAGATCATTCAGCATTTTGTTCCTCTGGTGGTCAGCCAGATATTTAATGGAGAATCACAGCAAATAAATCTAGCAATATATTGCTGCTTACCTTTTTTCACTTTGCAAGATTTTTTGTTTGGCTGAAGGAGATATCCTTCCACGCAACTGCAAATGTATGATCCATCAGTATTTTGACATGTCTGGCTACAGAGTCCATACAAATTACATTCATTAAAATCTGAAAAGAAAAAGAAAAATGGTTAACTTATACTCAGAAATCAATACTGTATTTATCACTACTTTATCTCCTTGGCAAGAGGAAAACAGGATGTTGGTGGTGTCTACAATAATAAGGTAAATATAGCAGTCCAATCCCCTTCAAGTCCAATCTCCTACTCAAGCAGGAAACCCGATACCATTTCAGACAAATGATTGTCGAATCTCTTCTTTAAAACCTTGAGCTTTCCAGCATCCACAACTTCTGGAGGGAAGTCATTCCACTGATTAATTGTCTTAACTGCCAGAAAATTTCTCCTTAATTCTAGGTTGGTTCTGTCCTTGATTAGTTTCCACCCATTGCTTCTGGTTCTGCCTTCAGCTTTGGAGAATAGGTTGACTCCCTCTTCTTTGTGGCAGCCCCTTAGATATTGGAAGACTGCTATCA